GTGGACAGATGCATTCGGGCGCCGATCCAGCCTTGCTGAGGGGCACTCAGACCCCCACCCACGGATGACTTTTGGGGGCTGAGCCAACCCCCAGGAATACTGGCCGCCAGCACCCGGCCAGCAGGGCTAGAGAGTGAGGGTTTAAGGTGTTCTTAGCCAAAGAATTTCTGGTGGAGAGATTGTTTATTGTAAATTCAGGGGCTCTGATGGATGAGATTCAGGTCTCCAGGCTTTGTTCACCCCTGGTCTGATTGGCAGCGAGTCCAAGAAAGCTTTCCGCTTCAGCCGAGCCCTCTAGCTCCCACCTCCATGGTGGGCTGGCCTAGGGCGGGACCCTGCAGACCCCTGGCCCCTAGGCTGAGTGCTGGGAGTGCCAGCATCCCTCTGCCCAGCCCCGCCCAGCTCTCTGTGCCAGGGACGTTGGCCCCTAACTGGAAGCGGACCTGGCTCTTCAGGCCCTGGGGCCAGACCCTCACAGCCAGCCCCAGCCGCAGGCCTTGTATGTGCCCAGCGGCTTCTCTGTCGGAGGGATTCCCCAAGTTATGCTGGGACTACTGCCCTCTGCCCGACCACCTCCCTCCCTCCCCAGGCAGGGTGGGAATGGCTCATAGTTTCCTTTCTAGAGCAAGTTCCCAATAAGGGTGGTATCTGACCTGTGTTCCGAGTGGAGCCTGCTCACTCTGCAGCTGCCCCTGGAAATCCCAAGAGCTTTTCGGCCCCCAGCGGAAGGGGGCAGCTCCTTGCTCATCGATGTGCCTGGCAGAAGCCGGGCAGAGCTAAGGGCTCAGGGAAGACCCGAGGAGCTGGACTGCGGACTGGTGTGTTGGTGATGGGTTAACTCTGTCAGAGCCAAGCCCAGGTGGGTCCCCTTTATCCGCTCAGCACGACATGGGGACGGGAGAGCCTCTGACCATAGCCTGGGACAGCCTCCTGACCTCACCTTGTTACTGAGCACCTAGGCCAGACCCTGCCTGTACCACGGCCATACGGTGGCCCGGAGCAGTGGTTCTCAAACTCGGGTGTCTCTGAGGACCGCTTGAGGAACCTGTTAGGACTGCAGCCTCCCTAGCCCCCAGCCAACCCCGGGCTCCAGAATCGGCATTGTTAATAAGTGTGTGTGATACAGGTGGTCCCAGGACCATGCTGCCTGCGGGCTGATAGGGAAAGCAGTGTGATGATGGGGGTGGGGTGGGGGGCGGAAGGGGCCCAGAAAAGCACCCAGAAGAGGTGAGTAAATCTTAAAGAACAAAGCAGGCGATGGTCATGATAGCTTACCCAATCAAATGCTTCGTACCAGGCACGCTCTCAGCCTCTGATGGGAATGGACTCATTTAATCCTCCAACAACCCCACTGATCGCAGAAAGGACCAGACTGAAGCCCAGAGGGGTGGGGCAGCTTGCCCAGGGTTCTGTGGCTGGTACGTGGTGAACCGGGTCTCACCCTCTGACTCCATCCCACTGCGTCGGGGCCAGGGCACCAGCTCACACAGAGGCTGTGCAGACCCAGGGCTATGGAGTAGGCAAAGCATGACGGGGTGTTGCTGCTGAATGGCTCAGATCCTAGTGTGTGTGGACAGCTTGGGGTTTGCTGGTGGCGTGTATCGCCGTGACCTTGGTTAGGGCAGGAACCTTTGGGTGAGGTGACAGTTGCCGTGATGTCGTTTTGAGAGGGCTGAGGCCGTGGCTGGGGTTCCCAGCGTGTTTCCTTGCAGTCTGAACACGACAGGACCTGGGATGTGAAGTGAAGGTGCAGGGCAGAGCTCAGGGAGCAGCCAGGGGGAAGAATTCTCCATGGCCAGAGCCCTGCCCAGTCCTTGGGTCTGATGGGGAAGGGGAAGATGCTGGGAGAGGGAATCTGCTCTCATTAAGGAGCCCGCTAAGAGCTTTGAATCCTTCTTTCCTTTAATTCTCACATCCCCCTGCAACCTGGGCTGATCTAGTCCTACTTACAGGGGTGAAGGCAGAGAGAAGGCTGATAAGCAGATAGAGGCCAGGTCTGTCCTTTGGGGATTGTGCTTTTCACTATAGTGGGGTCAGCCATGTTCTGAGTGGCCTCGGGTCCTGCCACACAGCTGGACCGATGAGCAGGCCCCAAGGGTATGGAGCCAGTGTGGTTGGGGAGGCTCCTGGTGGTCAGCTGGGCAGTTTCCAGCCCAACCCGGGCTCTGGGTAGATGGCCTGGCTTCAGGGGACCTGTTACCTGAGTGGTTGTGTTCCTTGTGGTGGAGTTCAGAGGCGTCAGTGTCCTGGGGTCTGTGGACTGGCCTCCTGTCGGGGGCCCTGATGCTGGGAATTGAGCTTCCACTGCCCGGAGGACCTGGGGACAGAGGGGAGCACGGCTTAGAGGAGGACCCTAGATCAGGCGTGGATTCCGGAAGCCCCTTCAGCCTCTCGTAAGCAGCACAGTCGGTCACAGCCCCTTCCCTGTCTTGTTGGCCACTCTGACCATCCCCTCACCGTACCCCAGTGTCTTCCAGCCTGCGCCTCCCAGCTCATTGATTTGAACCTGGAAACCGTGGGGACACACGGAAGTCTTGGCTCAGCATAGGCTGTTTTGGTGGAGGAGGGGGAATGTCTGACTCCCGGCTCCGGCCCCTGGGAAGCTGTTGCCTTCTGCAGAGGGAGGGCTGTGCTGTTTCCCAGTTTTGCAGCCTCTTGCCTCTCACCGGGGACAGAGGGTCTGTGACTGTAAGCTTTTCAGGAACAGTGGATGTGACAGAGCTGAAATGCTCTCACTTCCTCTTATGCTTTTTCTTTGAAATGGGAGAGACAGTAGAGGCCTCCTGGACCCATTTTACAGACAGGGAAACTGAGGCCGCAGCTGCTGGAGGGAAGCTGAGCCAGGGCCGGTCCCTCTCAGAATCTTGTGTCTTTAAGCTCTTGTTTGAAGAGGGTTTAGGAAGAGGAGCGCCTGGTGTCTGGCTGGGGTTGGTCTCCGGGGCACGTCCCAGGGTTCTCTCCTACCTGAACCAGGCCTGGCGCCTGCGGAAGTTAACGCCGGCTCTTCTGGTTGTGCGTCAGCGTCAGGCCTGGGACTGTCACTTAGGAGGTGGGTCTCTGCAGGGGAAGACGGGGCCTGACAACCCTTCTCCTGGTCGCCCCGCATCCTCTGGTTCTTGGGCTGCCCTGTCCACTTGCAAGTCCGCCAAGACTCTAGGCCACGGCTGCCTGTGGGCAGAAGGCACCGGGTTCTGACTTGTCTGGGTGGAGTGAAGACTAGTCCTTCCTGGGCGTGCCCTGGGGCAGTGAGGCCAGCCACTGGCCAGACCAAGCATTGGGGAAAATTGTGCCACTGTGGAGACCCGCGGCCCCCTGCCCAGCAGAGTGCCCCCTGCGCGGTGGGAGGTGGGCCAGGGTCAAGTGAGGGGACACCGTCTTCACGCACCTGCCAGCCGGTCGACTGCGGACTCACCTGGAGTTGTCAAGGACAGCAAGAAAAATAAGGGACTTTCAGGGGCAGCTGTGTTTTCTGACTCAAGTCATAATGCCCCTAAAAATCCTTATTGCTCTTGCAGTGGGCATCGGGCAGTGGCTGGCAACCCACCCCTCACCTACCTGGCCGCTGAGGGATGGGAAGGGCTTCCAGGGGTCCCATTGAGACTTGCTGATTGTTAAAACGCATTCGTTGGGCCGATGCATTGCCTTGCATGTGTTTTGACCATTGTTCGGTGTGGGATTGGGCATCCAGCTATTCCTGCATGGACTGGAGTCTCCTGGGTTTGTGCGGGTGAAGGTTCAGAAGGGCCCAGCTGCACGTGCAGGGCGCGAGAAAGGGCGGCCTTGGGGCCAGGTAGGTCGAGGGCCACAGTGTTGGGCTGGCCGAGTGCCCCCTGGGCAGGAACTGGCACTGTGTCTTAACACAGAAAGAGCCTCAGTTCCCTTCCTCAGACCCCGTGAGCTGGCCAGTTTGCAAACACGCCTGCAGGGGGTTCAAGCCTCCCCTCCCCTCTCCCCTCAGGTGACCCTGGAGCTTGCTGGGTGTTTTCTCTCCCTATTTCACTTCCTGAATCTCCTCCATTCTCAGTAGGTGCCCCCAACCCCACCTCTTCTGTCCCCACCCCACAGATATTTCGGTTAAGCCG